TGCACTGAGCGGCTCATGGCCACGTTTTCCCGAACGCAGGGACCCCTCCCGGGTCGCACGCGACAGGAGCGGGGGCCCTGACGCCCGGGGGTTCGGCCGCGGCGGAGCGGGGCCGCCGCTGGTGCCGTCGCTCCCGGGGCTCAGCGCGTGCGCCCTGCGGAGCGGCTCTTCCCGCGGAGGCCAGCGCGTGGGCGGGCTTGGGGGCGGGGCGGGGCGGGGCGGGGCCGCGCGCGGTGCTCCGCCCCCACGCCGCTGGCTCCCAGCCTGCCGGGTGGTGACCAGCAGTGCCGCGCCGCTTCCCCGCCGCTCGCTCTCCGCGCAGGCCCCGGCCCCCCGCATCCCCGCGTCCCCGCGTCCCCGCGTCCCCGGTGCTCCAAGATGACGCTCAAGTCGAGCGAGGGCGAGGGCGGGGGCAGCATGCGCACGGCGCTCTCCGACCTTTACCTGGAGCACTTGCTGCAGAAGCGCGGCCGGCCGGAGGTGAGCGGGCCACCGGGGCCCCCAGGGTGCGGGGGCTGGGCTGGGCTGCAGGCCCCGGCATGTGCCGCTGCATTTCCCCCGTCCTCGGCCCTGTTCCCGGGGGTTCTGCCCCCGAGGGCCTGATCTTGGGTGTCATGGTCTCTGGGCGGAGGCCTCAGCAGCCAGCTGGGTGGGGACTGCGGTGGATCGGTGCTGGGAGCAGCCCTTCTAGGTGGAGATGGCGAGAGGCCGCGGCCAGGACCCAACGCTAGTAAGGTCGAGCAAAAGTTCCCCGTGGGTGGAAGTCACAGTAACAGAGGCATTTGAGGAACACATCCAGGAGCAGGTCTGCCTGATTGTTGTTGGATTCCTTGTGTTCGGCTCAACTTCACTGTGCCTCTGCATTTAGGCAGGTCCCCTTGTGCTATGATGCAAATGGGGTGACCTGCGTGTAGTTATTGGTGGAACAGGCTAAGCAAGTCGTTTTGGAGGTACTTCTGGCCTCCAGATTCCAGTGATGGCGGGCAAATAGCTATTAATGTCTGTCCTCACAGACGCCCTGACTTGCACGTTGTTGTCTTCTATGTGTCCCCCAAACTCAGTGGCTTACAACACCGAGCCATCTGCCTACTCGACACAGGAGGAGAGCCCGGCTATCCCCCCTCTCCACCCCCTCCTCCATGAGATTTCTGGGGGTGCCATTGTGGTGCACAGGTACGGCTATTAAACCGTACCCATTAGTTAGACGAAGTAGTCAAAGATGATTAGAGAGAAAACACAGGAAAATAAAGCAGTAAAAGTCTCACAGGGAAGGTGACTTTGGAGCAAAAACCTATATTATGTGTTTGCTTACATAAATTCCTTCATGAAAAAAAAGAAAAGAAAAAGAATCAGAAAACTCCCTGTTACAAAAGTTGTGTTCTGGTTCCCTAATCCAGGAGGCTTATTTCCTCTTCCCTACTTTTGGTGTCACTTTCCCTCTCCCAAGCCAACTTTGGAAATACTGTTATTCAATCTTGCTTTTCTATACTCCACATCCAGACTCTTTTTTTAGCAACACTGAAAGATTAGTTCACTGTTTCGGGGGTTGGGGGGAAATCTCTGCATCAACAAAATGTCAGCTGATTTTGTCTTCTGGCAGTGTCTCAAGATATTTTGAATTGTCACTTTTTTTGGGGGGTGTATAACTTTTCACAGCAAAGAATTATCAAACCCAAAATGTCAATAGTGCTAAAGGAAATATCTGTTCCTGATATTCTACTTCTGTGTCATATCCAGGGAGACAAAACAAGGAGAAAAAAACAACTTACATGATAAAATTCTAATCTCCCTAAGCCGTCAGTGGCCACAATAAAATCAGATTTTTATCTGCAAGGTGTACTAAGTCCTTCTGCTTTTGAAAAAAAAGTCATAAAGATCCTGGATGCAAAGGACAGGGAAAGAAGACTGCCAGAACACACCCCATACTGGGGAAATTAGGGAGAGAACTAAATAATTTAAAAATTACATTTTATTTTCTAGTAGCCAATCTGTGAAAAGAAAAACCTTGAATGGCAATATCCCCTCATGAAATGAAACAACCAGACCCACGCAAAAGTTTGTTTTTGGGCAAAAAAAAAAGAATAATCAGGAACAGACTCCCTGATCACACATCCCACAGACTCAGGCAAGATTTGGCCTCCTGCCATCATAGAGTGTGTGTATTGAACAGATACCTTGCTGTCTTTGCACAGGCTATTCCCTCTGTCTGGAGAGCTGTTTGCCCATTGCATCCTGGATAATACAAAATGCAGGCTGCGCCAGCACAGGGCACCCCTCACTGCTTCACAGCACTCTCTACACCTCCTTCAGAGGAAACATCTGCAGCAGGGCTCAAAGGGCAGAGACAGTTGCTCAAAGGAAGTTGGAATCAAAAAAAGAGATGAAAACAAACTTGGTGGGGGAGGGGAGTGGTGGTGGCTAGAGCAGGGGCAACTACAGTAGGATTTTTTTTTTATCCAAACTAACCAGACTCTGTCAACTGCTGCTTACTTGTGTAGCCTTAGAAGGACCAGGTTGCCAGGTGCCGGTTGCTTATGCCTGTAGTCCTAGCTACTGAGGAGGCAGAGAGCAGGAAGGTCATGGTTCAAAGCCAGCCCTGGTAAATAGTTTGTGAGACCCTATCTCAAAAAAACCCATCACAAAAAAGGGCTGGTGCAGTGGCCCAAGTAGTAGGCCCTGAGTTCAAACCCCAGCACCACCAAAAAAATAAATAAAATAAAAAGACAGAAAGGCCCAGGTCAAGAAGGCAAGTGAAAGAGAGGAGAGAGAAAGAGAGAGAGAGAGAGAGAGAGAGAGAAACCATGAAAAACCAAGAGTGCGCTAATGAATCCAAACTGTTTAATTACAAATGATAAGAACTGGGGAGAGAGAAAGACCAGGATTTTCTGGCAGGTACTGTCTTAAAATCAAACGTTAACTAGATGCTTTGTTTCTTAGGCACTAAATCCATTTGAGAACACATACATCAGCCCAAAGGCCAATTGTGTAAAAGACCTTTTTTCCAGTGTACTTTATCTATACAGTGTACTCTGAATGGCCTCCTGTATGGTTGCCAGACACATAAATGGAGTCTACTGATAAACTTACAGAATTCATTTCTGAATTTGGTTTTTAGCTTTTTCTGTTCCACAGTTACTAATAATGAGAGATTATAATGTCAGAATTTTCAATTCCATTCCATCAATCTGTGAGTCTAGACTGTGTGTTTTTGTTTTGTTTTCTCTGGTGGTCTTTTGTTATTTTTGACACAGGATCTCACTCTATAGTCAAGGCTGGTCTCAAACTTGTGATCCTCCCACCTCAGCCTCCCAAGTGCTGGGATTACAGGTATGAACCACCATACCCAATTTATATCCCAAGTCTTCACTGAAACTAAATGTCTTGAACCTGGGAAGACTTACTCTTCCTACTTTCTTCTTTTTCAAACTTGTTCTAGCTATTCTGAGGCCTGTGCCTTTCCATCATATACATGATTTTTAAAAGATTAAGCCACCCAAAGATACTTTTAAGTGTAACTTACATAGACCAGCTGAATGAAGGTGGTTTTCATTCTGGGTAAAAAAAAATAACAGTCCGGGTGCATGGTTATTGGCAGCTAACACCAGTCTGGACTAGACAAGACAGCAGTAGAGAACATGAGAGCTCGGCTACCTGTAGAGTTGTAGTCTCCTGATTTTTTACTAAACAAAACAAGACACATAGTGAAAAGCAGATTTCTGGGCCATCAGTTTGCAACATCCACTTTGTTGGTTCCCTTGGAATTTGATTTGTTGGCCAACCTGTTGATATAGATATTAATTTGTCATGTGCTTGCTTTTACAATCTGTTCTGTAGCTGTAATTGTTTGTGGATTTGTTTATGGGTGGATTCTAATTGATTGCCAACCCAACATTCTACTTCTTACCAATCTCCAATCTTTTGGGGGAAGGTTAGATACTCAAGAAAATTCTTATTTTCCCAGCCCCTTTTCTAGTTTGGGATGGCTGTGCTCCACAGATGATAACTGAGGAAGTTCTGGAATGGGTGCTGCAGGCCTAGCCCTTCTTCCTTCTTCCTATCTTGAAAGTAGAGCTGGTGGCCAGAGTGGCAGCTTCTCCATGTGCTTTCAACCCCATGCCTCACTCTTTCTGTGATTTCTGACCTTAAGCTTGTGTTCTGTAGAGCGATGAAGTTGACCCCTCGGCTGATTCCTCCTTTGCACATCTAGGCTTGAGTTGTTTCAATGCTTTTTTTTTTTCTTGCAGCACTGGGGACTGAACTCAGGGCCTTCTGCTTGCTAGGGAAGCTCTCCACCACTTGAGCCACACCCCTGGTCCTTTTGCTTCTAGTTTGTTTTTCAGATAAAGTCTTGGCTCTAACTTTGCCTGGCACTGAGATCCTCCTACTTCCCCTGTCAAGTAGCTAGGATTACAAGTATGTGCCACTGTACCTGCTCAACTTTTCTGCATCAATGTTCACTCCCTCACCTACTTTCTGTCTTCTAGAAAGTCATTGAAATTTCTGATCTCTGATGAGTTTTTAATGTTTTCTTTGTGTGGAAGTGGGTTTCTATTTTTCCTCCCCCTTCACTGTCATTTAAACAGGGTCAGGGCTGAGGGAGGAGGAGATCCACACAAGTATCTGGGTTGCCACCTTGAATGAGACTCCTCATCGATTGGGAAAATTCCATCTCACCAGTATAGAAAGCATTGTGCTTTGTAGAGCCTTTTAGGAATAATAGATGGTCATTTGCCTGAATAGGAATGAATCATCAGGGCACAAGAATGAAGGGATACGTGAGATTATGAATGCTGAGAACTATCTTTAACAGCATCTTTCAGTCTTACTAGTGTCTTAGCGCTCCCAACAAAGAGTTAGCTGTATAGCATCTTAATAGCAAATGCCCACATTTGCTGAGTGCTTATAGGTGTTATGTTAAACACATGCCTATCATAACCCTAGAAAGTCATTGTGTTACTGTCCTCATTTTATAGTTGAGGAAGGGAACTGTGGAAAGTAAAGAATCTTGCCCAAAGTTACCCAGCCGTTAGTAGGGGACCCAAGACTCTAGCCAAGTCAGTATGTTTATTTCTTTTAAGAGGTATGCCCCAGATTTATAAGCTGCACTATTTCTTTCACTAATTTATTTCATTAAAATAATGCAAGCACATAGTACATAATTTGAAATGTATGATGTATAGATATACAGTGAAAACAATTTCCTTCTTACTCCCTCCTATAGCCACCCAATTTCCTTCCCTAGAAGCGACCACTGTTTCTTATGTTTCCTTCCAGTTAAGGTTTCTATATTCATAAGCAAATGTGAGTGTATTCATTTTTCACTGTTCATGCTGATGCTGGCATACTTTTCCTCACATTGTTGAATCATCTACTGTTGAGTACCTTGGAGGTGTGGGAAGTTCTGTGCTCGCAGGTAATTTAAATCAATTTTGAAATTGCAACCTATCTTTCCCAATTTTATTACAACATCAGTGCCATGTGACTTGGTGTCATATGATTGTTTTTGAAGTTTAGTTGCTAGACAGGACAGTTTCTCTTTCTCAGTACTTCCCTCATCTGAGGTCACCCAATAAGTAAAAGTACTTCAAACCTCACCATCTTGTCAGAGGTTCCACTGACTTCTTAAGAGAGGATGCAGAAAATTGAGATTTAGGCATTATGTTTTATAAAGAGCATCCCTGTGTTTATATATTTATCTACAAACTTCTATGCCACCAGATATTGCTGAGGAATATATATAAGGATGACAAGGTACGTTCCTTACAGCTCTGCCTATTGAGAAGACCTTCCAATGTCCTTGAAGGTCATCCCTGGGTGTGGCAGGAGTGCAGCTGCCATCATTTTTAGCTTGTGACCCTCTTTTTTTTGTGGTACTAGGGTTTGAACTCAGGGCCTCACGCTTGATAGGCAGGTGCTTTACTTCTGAAGTCACTCTGCCAGCCCCCAAAACTGACCCTTATATACATCAAGCTTAGGTGTGTTCCCCCTCCTCCAGCTGGCTATGTTGTTTTTTATTTAATATTTTATAGACACATTTTAAGAAGCATGATGTCTTCAAATTACTCTCAAAAATTAAACTTTATGACATTGAAAGAACCGTTCTGTGATAACATTGCTGTTCGCCTCTTTGGTACACGTACAAGTTGAGTGGCATCTCTTTTGTAGAGACCTCAATGTGATTTTCCTGGTTTACACTCCAACCTGCAGGTATGAGAGCTCTAATTACCTACCCCAAGGCTTGCCTTTTTTTGCCTCTTTTAATGCCATTTTCACCAAGATTTTGTTTGAAAAATTTCAACTGACTGAAAAGATGGAAAAAATGTATCATCCATATAACCATGTCTGCCATCAACACGTTTGTTTGCTTTATTGCATATCTACCAAATCACTCATCAATCCACCTTTTTGGCATTTCAGAATACCATGCAGCTAGTGGTGCTCTTTACCCCTAAGACTTCAGCACACATAGAACCAGCTAGAGTACAATATTAGCTATTTTGAGGTAAATTTTACTTACAGTGAAATGCAAAATTCTTAAATGTATTATTGAATGAGTTAGCAAGTGTACAAGTCGGTGTGATCCAAACACCTCCAAAACTTCTCTCATGTCCCTTCCTAGCCAGCCCCTTCCCTATCTCATCAGGGGCAACCACTGTTTAAATTTTTTGCAATAGTTTTGCTTGTTGGAAAATATATAAATTGTATCATGTGGTATGCACTCTTTTCTTTTTTCATAGGGCTTCTTTCACTCAACATAAAGTTTCTGAGATTCCTGTGTGTTTTGATAGTTTGATCCTTTCTGTTGCCAAGTAGTATCCCCTTGTATGGCTAGATCACAGCTGGTTTATATGCGCTGTCCTGTGGATAAACACCTAGGTTGTTTCTACTTTTTGACTGTTACAGACATAAAGCTACTGTGTACATTCATGTACCAGCTACTGTGGCCAAATGTTTGCTTTTATGTTGGGTGAAGAATCCCTGCTTGGATTGCAGGACCATAAACTAAGTGTGAGTTTAACTTTATAGAAGTTTGCCTTTCACAGTCGCTACATGATCATCAGTAGTGTATGAGAGTTCCATCCTAGTGGGTGTGCAGTGGTGCTCTATTGTGATTTTTTTTCTTTCTGTGCTGCTGGGGTTTCAACTCAGGGCTTTGTGCTTTAGAGGCAGATTCTCTACCACTTGAGCCTTGCCTCCAGCCCTTTTTGCTGTGACTGTTTTTGGAGATAGGGTCTCACTTTTTGCTCAGGCCAGCCTGGACCAAGATCCTCTTATTTTAAGTTTCCTGTCATCATTAGGATTACAGGTAAGTGCCATCATGCCCAGCTGTTGGTTGAGATGGGGAGGGCTCATGAACTCTTTCCCGGGCTGGCCTCCAACCATGATCCTCCTGATTTCAGCCTCCCAAGTAGCTAGGATTGCAGGTTTGAAGCCAGCTGTCTCCTGCTGTGGTTTTGATTAATGTGTATTTCCATGATTCTCTAGTGATGTTGAGCGTTTTTCTTGTGTTTATTAGCTGTTCATATGTCTTTTTTTGGTGAGGACTCCATTCAAACGTTTTGTCCATCTTTTCATTGAGTTGTCATCTTGTTATTGAGTTGTGTGTGTTCTGGATATAAGTCTCTTGTCAGAAGTAAGTATTGCAAATATTTACTCTCAGGCTATATCATGCCTTTCTAGTTCTTAAGTTTGTTCGTTTTGAGATGGGGGTCTCTCCCCATGTTGCCTGGGCTGGTCTTGAACTCCTAGGCTCAAGAAATGTTCTTACCTCAGCCTCTGGAGTAACTGGGACTACAAGTGCGACATGCTTGACTCTTATGTACTTGTTTTATTTTGTTTTGACACAGGGTCTTGCTTTGTAG